AAAACCCCAAAAAAAAAAAAAAAAAAAAAAACCCGGCGTTTTTTCTCTTTTGGGGGGAATTTCCCAAAACAAAAACCAAAAAAAAAAAAAACCGTTTTTTTTTTTCCCTTGGGGGGTTTGATTTTGGAACCGCCCCGGAAATACCCGCCCCGGCCAGTTCCCCCCCCGGGAGGGGGGCCGCCCGCCTTTCCCCCCCACTGCGGTGGTTGATAGGGGGGGCCGGCCCCCCCCCCCCGGGCCCGGTTTCTGGTTGTGGGTGTGGTGGGGCGGACCCCCCCCCCCTTTTTCTCTTTTGGTCGCGGGCGCTGCTGCTGCCGGCGCTACCTCCCGAAACTCGCCGCCCCGTGGCGGCGGCAGCGCTGACGGCGGGGACGGCGGCCGCGACGGCATCGAAGTCGAAAGGACTGACCGCGTCCGCGCTGCTGCCCCCACCGCCGCCGCCGCTTGGCACCGGCGGTGGCCCCTGATAAAAAAATAACAAATGTTCGTGCGGAAGGACTTGGGCGTGAGGCGATGTTACGCGCGTGACTAATGAGAACGTAGGGGGGTGGTGTTAAGAGCTCTTCCGATGACCCCCCCCGCCCCCCCCCCCCCGACGCGAGGTCAATGGTCAAACGACTACGGCATGCACGGCTATGAGTACCCCCCCCACCCCCCTCTGGTATACCCAGGTATCGCCTTAAACGCTTTCCTCGCTGGTGTGCAACAAGAGGAGAGGCCTCTCCGCAAACGCGGCAAAGCACCCTCCAAACGACCCAAAAGGGGGCAACGGCGTTCTGGTTGCCTACTCTTGCCTCCAGTTTCGAAGACCAATGCGCTAGTGTCCCACCATCTATTGCACCGCTGTTGGCCTAGAAAGAGCGGAACGCCGTCAATTGGGCACATGGAAAAAAACAGAGACAAGTGGTATGGTACCGCCAAGGGTGACGGCATGCGCACCTTGCTCCCGCTGTTGACAGAACCGAACGGGTCGTCTCCAAACAGATCAGCACCAGGAGCCTGCTGCCGCCGAACGCAGCAACCGTTACCAGAAGCAACAACATCAGCAACAGCCACCACAGAGGCAGGGGACAGAGGGTATACGGTCGACATAGGAGCCAAAAATTTTCAGCGGGTGAGAGGGGAGAACGGGTCAAGATAACGTGAGGCGACCTACATACAGCACCACAGCTCCGGGTTGTCACAAGGAAACACGAAACAAAAATTTTAGTTGGAACAACCCGTGCGAACAACTGACGACAACACCAACACATAAAGCCGTGCGAAGCAGGAAATCGAACCAGTCGGATTGGTCTTTCGCTCCCTGCACAGCAGCAGTGCTCTCGACCAAAGCGTCCACGAGGCAAGGCTTCCTCCCCGCTCACGACTTGTCGAGCAACCCTGCCTTCCCAAGTCGCCAAGGCCAGTTGCGCCAGTAATACTACTACACTACCAGTAGTACTAGTACCTGCTGCTACTGCTGCTGCTACTGCCCGGTGCTGTGCTCCTTCCTGAGCAAGGGGTCGCCCTTACAAGACACCGTCTCTGCTGCCAAGCTCGCACCTTCTGTTGCTGCTGCGGGAGGTCCGGCGCGGCATGAAAGAAAGGGTTTCCAGGAGCCACCGTCTGCAGCTGCTGCTGCTGCTGCTGATGATCATGATGCAACATTTTCCACGTGGACGAAATGGTTTGGTCCCAGTCCAAAGTGTGAGACCGAGCACGGAGAAACCGGGGGCACAGCAGGGTGGAAGGTGGGTATGGGGTTGTGCGGCAGAAAAGAGCAAAAACGAGAACCCTTCGGGACCGCTGAAAATAATCCCAACACATGGTGGCAGTCCACCGGGGTAGAAAAAGGGCTCGACTCTTTTGCTTTGGCAGGAGACTAAAACACTATAGCGCAGCATCATCCCTGCTGCGTTTTCTGCTACTCCTGCGCTGGCATCTTTGATCTTGCGTGCCAGTGGGTTGCTCTCTATCCGACTTTTCTCGTTGCTCCATTGGGCTTGCTGCAGCTTCAGCATCATCATCCTTGCGATTCTTTCACAAATCTCTCCACGATCATCTCCCCGAAGATCTGTTTGTCATTTTCGGAGTCGATGGATGTATATATTTTGTATGACAAGCGTCAACCGCGAAGAACACAGAAAGCACGCCAGTCTCTTGCGCGTGTGCGTATGAGTACTTAGGAGTATTTATTTACCATCGATCCGTTGATCGGCTGGTCAATGAAAAGACGCTCGGCTTACGCAGAGTATTTCTAGCGCGTGTGTTTGTCACGCTCTCATACACCGAAAAAGAAAAAGAAAATGTACGTGGGTGGCTGTTGGATTCGGGCCTGTTTCAACGTTAAAGAGTTGCGCCTAAGTGAGCACCCAATTTGGATGGACCTAATTGGGTTTTCCGCCAAAGAGGACTTGCATCGTTTTAACGTAATTTTGCCACACCCAAATGCCAATCGAGGTGCAGCAACACCCAAATGCGGCGGGATCGCTGCCGTGAGGTGACGTGGTCACCACACAAGTAGAGCGATAGACAACGTGCACCACAGGAGCTGTAAACATGTATCAGCACACACACGAAGCTAAGCACCAGCAGGCGGTGCCAGTGGTCCAAGCCTTATCCTCAGGCTTGCTTTACAAACTTTTGTTTGGACTGTCCCGCTGCAAACAACCGGCCGTTGGCTGTTGACACAGCACATATTGGGAAGCAACGTCCACAGCAACCCAACCAGCACGAAAAAATACACGCTCAGACTCATTGCAACACAATATTTTCCCAGCAGCGTGCAGTGGGCGATGCGTGGAAGTGCCGCACGGCCAGTGGCCACATGCGGTCCAGTCAGCAGCAACGCCAACACGAGTTCAGCTCATCATGGGCGGTGCAAAAAGGGCGCAGTCCAACTCGGGTACTTCGATGCAGCAAAAAACAATCCAGATTGCAGTTGTTTTTGCTCCAACCAAGAAATAGCCAAGTCCCGCTTTTCTGGGCAGCAAAACCTCATCGTGTTCGTTTCCTGTTGACCAATCAGCGTCTTCGGCCCCCGGTACCCCCCCCAAACTTAGGTTTTGCGGGGCCCCTTTTTAGGTGACAAAAACAAGCGTTAAAACAGGCCTTTCCGCAGGGTGCGAAAACGTGTACGTGACCAGAACGTGCGGGCATCGCAACACCCATTCCTACGCAAAACTAGGTGAGCTTTCATCCTGCATCCCTCCCACGTCGACATGTTGACATAATGCCTTTTTGCAACTGCGAGTCCTGTGCATTAGTAGAGTCAAGTGCCATGTGCCGCACGTGTTGGTGGACATTCCCGACGCAATCGCGGACGGATGCGACACCCAACGACAGACAGACGAGTTCGGTGATTCTTGGCGCGGTGACAGATTCTACGACGACACTTCGAAAGAACAATTAATTTTCGGTTTCAAGAATGTACTACATGTACTTCCAACAACCCCAAAGAAAAGAGAGGAGGGATGGAAGAGAACAGGGGGCGGTTGTGTGTTTTCCTCTCCAGCACGGAACGCACGGAATTTTATTATTGACTGTCATGTCTTTCGAAGTACAGCAGTAATGGTACGAAGAGCATGCACACGAAAATGAAAATACATTGCACATGACGCATGGCGAGCCGGCGATCTCACCTGAAGCGGTTGCTGAGCGGGGGCGATCTGGAGCTGCTGTTGATGTGGCGGGTACTGCGGCTGCATCAGTTGTAGCCCACCATCAGCAGTAGCATCGCCATTCCGAGCCGCTCCTCCTTGGCCAAGCCAGCTCTGCTGCCGATGATGATGATGTTGCTGCTGCGGGTACTGCTGTTGCGATCCGGCAAATGGATGTCCAGGCCACTGCTGCTGCTGCGGTTGCTGTGTATGTTGTTGCTGCAGTATTCCGGCACCACTCCCGGTGCCGACAGCAGTGGACACACCGCCCAGCAGGTCGTCGAACGGATTCGATGCCGTCACCGAAGTGCCTCCGCTGCCGCCAGCATGCTGCTGCTGCTGTTGGAACGGAACGATAGCGCCCTGGTACGTCGGGTGCTGCTGTTGGTGGGCTCCGTGATGATGATGATGCTGGTGCAGGGGATGGCTTTCCAGAGGCTGCTGCTGGCCGTACGGCACCATAGCGCCCGGGCCTTCGCCGCCTGCTACACCAAACAAGTCTTCCACCACTCCAGCTCCCGAGTTGGTGCCTGCCGACGCCTCGTTCAAGCCACCGGCCACACCGCGGGAAGCACCGCCACCGCCGGCAGCAGCGCCACCTACTGTGTGAAACGCTCCAGTGTTGAGCGCCTGGGTCTCGAACGGGTTTTGCGTCGCCGGCGCCGGAAAGCCGCTGTTGTTGTTGCTGGTCCTCGCCCCAGGCAGATCAGCTCCACCCCCGCCGTGCGGCGGCGGCATGAAGCTCGTGTTGCTGGCTCCGCCAGGCCCTGCCGGCGGTGCTAGAGAATCCTGCTGCTGCTGAGGAAGAAGAAGGGGAGCAGGGTCTTGGGGGGCGTTGAATTGCTTCTTCTGCTGCTGCCGTTGCGGTTGCTGCTGCTGCTGTGGTTGCTGCGTCGGCATCTGAAAAGGGAACTCGCCGAATGGGTCCACCGTGCCAGCTCCGCCTTGGCTTCCGCCCCATCCCTGGAATGGATCTTGCGCCATGCCGCCGCGCCAGCCTCTGTATGCGTCCTTCGTCCTTCGTAACCTACAATGCCCCGGCAGGCGCACACACCTCGGCTCTTGTTTTTAGAAAGCTTGAAAGCTTCCTCGGAATGCGAAAAACGCCTCGTCAAATTTTCTCGATTTGAAAATATCCCATCCCCGCCCCCGGGACACCCGGCCGCCGCCGGATGCATGATGGCGCACTGCCGCCTGGCACACCAACAACGTACGAGCGATGATGATGTCGTCGGTTGCTCCGCTCAGGACTGCCGCGAGAACGGTGCAGCGTGTACACGGCAGCCTACCGATGAGACGACGAGGTTGCGCTCCGTTGGGAAGCGCGTTGCTGCGCCGGCGCTGGGGCGACGGCGAAGCTGCTGCTGCTGTCGTCGGTGCCAGCAACACCAACGTCAACAACATGACGACAGCCGCCGGCTGCGCGCAACACAGCCATCAACAACAACAACGACGAGAACAACAACAGCGGCAGCAACCACAACTACACCGACGGAAGCTCGACCAAGCACACTCCTTCTCTGGCTTGCCACGAGAGCAACACCCGAGGGCGTTCGACAACGCCAGTAGTTGCGGTATCGGTGGTGCTGCTGATAGGTGCGGCGCAATCAGGCCGCTCAGCTCGAGAACAAACAAGGGCAGGAACAAGCGAGCGGCCAGCGCTGCTCCTCCTCCTCCCGCCGCGGCGGCGCCGAGCAGCGGCAGCAGCACCGAGACCACGGAGACGGTCATCACCATGGACGGGGTTTCTAAGCAGCTGCCGGGGGGCAGGCAGCTCTTTGCCGACGCGAGCCTGACCTTCATGAGGGGCGCCAAGATCGGCGTGCTCGGCGTGAACGGCAGCGGGAAGAGCACCGTGCTCAAGATCATCGCCGGAGAAGGTCAGCGTCATGTCGTCAGCAGCAGGCGCTGAAAGAAGAGTGTCTGCTGCAGCAACGTGCACTCTGCAAACATCTTTTACCGCAGTGCTTCTACTTTGGTTTCGACTGATTTTTCTTGTTTCGTCGTCAACGCCGCAAGAATTTTCCGCCTGCTGCGGGGTAAAATACTCGATTCGTCTTAACCAGTCCGCCTGCTGTGTGTACAGAGGTGGGGGGGTGTTGGTTCGGTGTCGTGGTTGACAAGTACGGCGGGTAGTGTACAAAAGAAGTATGCACAGCATTTCCACCACCTGCTGCTTCGCAGACTTACAGCAGCACTTCGTTCTTCTAGGCTGTGTGTGCATCGTCTTGATTGTTGTTGTACCTAAAAACGCGGTGTTCGAAAGAGGGGGGTAGCAAGGCAGGGGTGTGAAAAAGTGGAAGGAAAATACCAAAGGTGTCGAACGGAGAGAACCGTGCAGCAGTGTTCTTCCTCTCTCTCCTACTGCAGTACAACCTTCTCCTACAAACTGGAGCTGCGAACACTGCTGTTCACTCGTCGTCTGATGTATATTACTGGTGCAATGTGACGTGTGATTCTAGTGCTTTGTTTTAAACCTGTGAAGCTTTGCATTCTTATCGCTCGTTGTCTGATGGTATATACTGCGTAGTTGTGACGTGTGTGTGTCTTGTTTGAACGCGAGCAGATAAGGAGTTCGACGGCGACATGTGGACGCGAGACGGCCTTCGTGTCAAGTACCTCCCCCAAGAACCCGACCTCGATTCCTCCCTGAACGTCATGGAGAACATCCGACGCGGCATCGCCGAGCAGGTGTGCACCTTGCTGGCGTAGGAGCATAACGTAGTAAGGGACAACGTTGCAGAAAACCATCGTATGTGCTACAGCAGTGCTTCGAAGGCACGCATGCATCCATCTTACCCAGCGTTACAGGCGTAGAAAAGTGTACCACGTAGCTTCCTCGGGACTACAGCACAATATATTGTGGGCGGACGATGTGCTTCGTAATTTTGCACTCTCGGGATACCACCCCAGCAGATTCTGGGATTGTGGCGACAAATCAAGTAAATTCTCCGAACTAATATGTACGTGCTTGGTGACCACGAACGAGAAAGATATCGCTGCCGTACATTACCGCGACATTTTTGGTCCTTTTCACTCGAACCCCCCCCGGTATCCTGTGGGAACCATGCTCCGTCCTCTCTCGAGGACGTGTGGTCAATGGTCTAAAAGCCAAGGCACGCAAAACATCAGAGTACCCCCCCCCCCCCATCAATGTCTGGGGCTCCTGTGTTTCTGGCCTCACCCCCCCTATGCGTTGAACCGGACAAATCAGGAGAATATGGTGGCAAGGTTCGAGGAGACCGGTATTGCTATGGGCGATCCCGATGCCGACCTAGACGCCTTGTTGGAGGAGCAAGCGGCGCTGCAGGCCAAGATAGAGGATGCCGACGCTTGGAACCTCCAGGTGGGGCTGGCTACCTACAAGCAAGCGTGGACGAAGCCTTGTTTTGCTTGTGTAGACAAATACGAAAGTTGGATCCGTGCACCCACCTCACTTGTAGGTGGGGGGAAGAGGAGCACTTGCGCATGTTGTTCGTGCGGTTTTGTTCTTTCGGCGTGAGATGGGCTGGAACCGAGCGGTGCACGCGTACCCATACCATGTAGCAGCGGTTTGCAAGATTGTGGCGGGTCTTCACTTTCCCGGCACACACACACACACACACACACGTGCAGGTTTTAACCCAGCCCAACCCAACCCACCCGAGCTATCCTCAGAACCAACTCCAAACCTAACGTACCCTCAAAATGCCCGCCCTCGACAACGATGCACCCCTTCTCGCTGTTTGTTTTTCTGAATCGGCACAATATACGACATAAAAAATTGTTGTAGCACCGAGTGGACATCGCGATGAGAAAGCTGAGGGTGCCCCCCGGAGACTCCCCGGTGGACCAGCTGTCCGGGGGGGAGAAGAGGCGCGTGGCCCTCTGCAGGCTGCTGCTGGAGCAGCCGGACGTCATCCTGCTGGACGAGCCGACCAACCACCTCGACGCCGAGTGAGTCAGAGCACGTGTAGTAGGGCGGACAAGAGGGGCTCTCACGCGTAAGCAGGAGTTCTGGCGAACTGCCCCAAACCGGGGTAAGGGCCAATCCGGGGGGGGGGGGGGGGGGGCTGTGTACTCATAGTCGTGCATGCCGCAGTCGTTAAACCATTGACCTCGCATACCCACAAAGCTGGGACGGAGCACGCCGGGTTCTCACCGGACCAGGCTCTCACATCACCAAGCGCGAAGCGCCGTGAGTATGGCGAGTCGCATGAAGGTTGAGCTGCATCCTGCTAAGCGTGTTGGGCATCTTGTGCTTACTTCCTTGCGTACGGATGACAGCTGCGTATGACTTAATTTATTTTCTGGTGCTTTCACTTCCAGAGGCAGTTGTAAGCACTGTGTAACTGGCTCGAGGATGCTTGACCATTTTAACACAACG